GTTACACGAAAATAACAAAACGGTCACTAAAGTTTAAAACTTGCAGAAATGGTCACTGAAGTTTCATGCGGTTTCAAAAATGGTCACTGAACTTAGTTTTCGTACTATTATGTTTTAATTCAAACCTAAAGTACCAAAACACGTGGACATAGAAGCTGGAGAACCTCAAGTGCAAAATTCAATTTAAAATCTCCCTAACCCCAAACCCAAAACACCACTTTTCGCACCCCATTCCACCATATTTCAGCCAAGAAAACCACCGAACCAAAAGACCATCTTGAAGCCCTCGCTTTCCTCTATGCAACTCACCCAAGAACCGCCCTTACCTCCGACGGCGGTGGCCGGATTTTGGTCCCAAAGTGGGCATCTAGTACAGTCGGCAGTTTTGTGATGTGTGAGAGGCCCACTTTTGGATGAAATTCCACAACTTTCTGTCTACCAAAACCATCGGACCAACACACCACCTTGAAGCCCTCGTTGTCCTCTACGCAACCCACCGAAGAATCTCTCCTAAATCAGCTGAAAAGTGGCCAGAATTTCGTCCAAAAGTGGGCCTCTCACACAGTACAAAATTGCCGGCTGTGCGAGATGCCCACTTTGGGACGAAATTTAGACCACCATCGTCGGAGGTTGGAGTGGTTCTTGGGTGGGTTACATAGAGGGAAGTGAGGGCTTCAAGATGATGTGTTGGTTCGGTGGTTTTGGTTGCCGGAATGTAGTGGAATGGGGCGCGAAAAGTGGTCGTATGGGTTTGGGGTTGGGGAGATTTTAAGTTGAATTTTGCACTTGAGGTCCCCCAACTTCCATGACCACGTGTTTTGGTGCTTTAGGTTTGAATTAAAACATAATAGTACTAAAACTAAGTACAATGATAGTTTTTGAAATCGCATGAAACTTCAGTGACCATTTTTGCAAGTTTTAAACTTTAGTGACCGTTTTGTTATTTTCGCGTAATTTCAGTGACCGTTTGTGAAATTAACCTTTCAGAATTGGATCATATGATATTGTCCAATTAGATTGGGCGTGTCATCTAAGCAAGAAATGGACTCTTTTATTAAAAGAAATACAAACTTAGCCCACTTTAAATTTGTGGGCGATCAATAATTGGGGTTAGGGGGTATATGACATATTTTTAGCTCCAACTGTTGATATTTTTAGTTACATTACAAAGTATTAGAGATACAGTCAAGAAAATTCATCATTAAGTTCCAGTTTGGACAT